CGGCGGCAAAACAGCGTAATGACGGAGTACACGTTTGCACGATCCGGCGTATTATCTTAACGACACGGCCGCGGGGAAAAAGGGGCGAGGAAGCAGACAAAAAGCGGGTATCCGCGCTTTGCATACAAGGACACCGGGTGCATCATCGCTAAAAGTATCTCGACCGGTTTCTCACGTCCCGTGTTATTTGCTTGTCAATTACCTCAGTCGCGCGATGATTCCGTAATTCACCGAAACCCTCGAGCCAGACGGACGGACAGATTCGGTTTTCTCCGGCCGGCGCGAGATGCGCTGCATCTTGCTGCGCTTTGCCGCGCTTTGCCTCTCGCCGAGCGCAACCACGACGGAACAGAATAGAAGCTTTCATTAACGCAGTCCTGTTTTTAGCCACGCGTAAGGAATGGGAATTAATCTTAGAATACTAACCTTTTAACTCTGGACCTATGTTCCTTGAAAACAGTGATTAAGGAAGTAGAAAACTCAAAGACCTTTCACTGTGACGTATATGTATTTTCAAAGTTGTCATCACACGCGTTCGAGGGAAATCGACAGGGGGGCGAGAAACATCGGAAAGCGGGGATTCGTAAACAATATTTACGTCTCCGAGACGCACGTTAGTATCTGGGGTTAATCTGGGGAAACTTCTGCATCTTCACACCTGCTGTTTGGCACGCGCAAACCCGTGACGTATGGAGATCGTTATGCGACATATGTCGGCACGAATGCGCCTGCCACGGAGATTTCTGTGTACATCTATGGTCCTCGTGCCGGGAACACACGCATTTCGTAACGTTTCGCGCGAGAGATATACGCGTAAGATTTACGCATGTGAGCGCATGCTGAATGGGGACAAGCTGCCGCCCGATGTTGTTCGAGCCGAGAGAGAGAGAGAGAGAGATCACGTTTTCCTCGTAGCTGTCGATCGGTTCTGCGTGACTCTCGCGTACCGGGAACGCAAATGATTCTCCTCTGGAACGTAGGTGTGCTGCTCTGTGGATAACTGAGAGGCAGCAAGGTCGACGCGTGGTTGTCTTCGAAAAATTCATCGGCCGTGCGTCCGCTTGACGGAAGGAGTGGGACGAGTGAGAGAAGAAAGCATCGTTTGACTCGCAATTAGCTCGTCGAGTCGGTGTTCCCAGTCCATTTATGTTTTCAATTTTCATATCTCCCTCCCAAAGAGACATACATATTTGCTTTGATCGCCGTTAAAGATTCTCTTCCCGCGTTCCATCGAGAATTCGATCTTCGTTCGCTTCAGGGCCCTCGAGTCGAGAGATTGAAGAAAATGTACATTTCCTCGTTTGAAGAATTTTTCTCAATATAAAAACACTTATGTTAACTTAATTAAATATATATTACCAGTACCCACCGCATAAATACTTTTTATTTCTTAGACATTCCTTCTCTCTGTAGAATTAAAAGTCCACGAGAAAAGTTTACAGATATCGTCACAGTAGGTTCTCACTAATCTTCTAGGTAAGCGCCATTTAAATGAGCGTAAGCAATCCTCAGGAGCGTCAAATCTCAACTTTATCTCACGTGAGATACAATTCGCACGCGAAATGGGAGATGAGTGTTGCGAGTTTGCGTGCGGAGCCATCGATGCGACTCCTTGGACGACGATCTCTGCATTAACGCGTAGAAACGTAGGGTCGTGACCGCCTACGTAACGAGCGGCCGAAGCGAGCATATCGAATCAATAGCGATCGATCGGAAAATCATATAGTTCTCGCGATGCGTATCTCATTGCTGCCCACGTCGATCTCAATTCGTCGTGCTCCACATATACGTATATCGCTTCCGCCGGCGGACAGAACTGCATAATATCGCAGCGGGTAGAACGTTGAGCGCCTAGAGCCAAAGCTGACGCAAGTGCTGCCGCGTTAAACAATGATTCTTCCGCTGGCACGTAGCGGGAGAAAGAGAGAGAGAGAGAGGGGGGGGGAGAAGGACCGTCTCAAGGATGAACGACGAGTGGACGTTGTTAATTTGCTTCAGTCGCAGCGGCTGCGGTGGCGGTTATTATTGCAAAGCCTCGAGGAATTCGAGGAGATCCAGCTCGAGAATCTAATTAGAAAAGGACCGTCGGGTAGCACGAGGGTTTAATTAAACCGTTAATATTTCGATTGAATCCTCGGACGATTTAGACTCGCTGTCAATTCAACGTTGATATTCCATTGAAATTCTCGGACGATTAGACGCGCTTCGATTCAGTATTAACATTCCAATTGAATCCTCGGGTAATGAGGGAGCCGCTTTAACATCGACGTTTTAAGCCCCGATACTTTAGCGATCACGTAAGGGTTCGGCGATTCGAAGCTCTGGTATGCGAAGGGCCCCCCGTAATCTGATCGTTTGTGTCTAACCCAAGGTTCTAACAAGTTAAGAGACTCGAGAATCAGAACGAACATCATCGTGTGAAGTGACCACACACGCGTAATAACTCGACGACGGCCGCCGTTGTGCTGCAACTGCCGCCGCACGCGCTCCCTCGTTATCCTTTCTAAACCGCCGCTTTATTAGCACCGTGCACAAATCGAGACTCTGAGTGCCGCTAGAAAGCAGCAATATATTTCTCCCCGACGTTTCTCTCCTTCACCATATTTCCCTCTTTTTCTCTCTCTCTCTCTTTCTCTCTTTCTTTCTTTCCGCTTTTCCGAGCGTTCGATCGCTCGGGGCGATCGAGTGACAGCGGCTTTCTTTTAACGCTCCTCGGCGAGAAGAAGCGCCGTTTCTATTCTGGAAACCTTCATCACGGATCGTATGTTATGATTACAACCTACTGATCCCGATGAACCCACTGAGCCGGTTTCCGACGACAAAGCCGATAACCGATTTGGCATTTTTATTTATTTTTTTCCTTATTTTACTTCAACTGTGATGCGGATCGGCCGAATCTGCAAGGCTCATTGTTCGGCATCTCTGTGCCTGCAATCTCGCGCATCTCCTCCGCTAAATTGATCGAACGTCGTCGGCGCAGCGCTCCGACGAAAAAATCTCTCCGCGACCGTCACTAATTAACCGTCTTTCGTTCGGCTTAATTGGCGACACGGTTCCTGAGCGTCCCGCGAAACAATCGGGAACGATCGCTTCGCACGCACTCGCGCAGAATGAAGCGTAATTGCGTCTATCTCGCGACATCGCGACTCCTCCGCCATCTCTCTTTTCTTCATTCATTTTCTCGACTGTGCGTGTCTCTCTCTGTCTCTCTCTCTCAAATCATCCGCTCTAGTTTTTTGCGTCAGACAACCGTACTAATTATATATATTATTATTTTTATATTTCTATCTCCATTTTTATATTTCAATCTGTATTTCGCGTTTCTAATTTACTTTCATTTTTATTTCTACTTTCATACTGTCAAAAGGTTTTTTTTATATGTACACCGAAAAAAGGGTTAGAGTCAAGTAAATATAATTACCTGTTTTCCAACTTTTTAAATCGAATATTTTTATTAATTTAAATGTTTTAACTTGTGTAGTAAATATTTGCTTGAACACAGTAATACTTTAATTTGCAAATGAGTTACTGAATGTAAATAGTTCTAAATTTAGGAGAGTATCCATTAGAAATACGTGATACTTCCTTTCCACTGAGGAAATCTAATAATTTTAAATTTCGATTTTTCTCTCCAGTAAATATTTTCTAAAAATAAATTCTGATATTCTCAATATCATAAGTGTAATATTAGTCGCAATTGCTTAGCACAAATAAATGCTTACTTAGACGAAGGAAATATATTCTATATAGCTAATTATATTTCTACTTCTAGTAAATATCTGCCAAGGAGTATTGAAGTAACTCATTTTGGACCAAATAAATGTTACTTGAACGGTAGCACCTTTTTTCCAGTGTAGATTTTCTCTTTGAAAGCGAAGCCTTTGCTTTCCCACAAACCACCTCTCATCCACGTTCCCCGGAGTCACAGTGCTTCAGGGGGCCGAAGACGAAGCCCTAAGAGATAGAATAAACACACTTATCTATGTATCTATTTATCTCTTTCTCTCTCTTTCTCTCCGCGTTTACGACTAGACAAGCGCCATATTTACGGATCTCATCTCGGATTATTATTGCGGCGCGAGAGGCTCCACGCCGCCGATGCGTATCGTTCCAGAACTCCGGCCGAGCTTCTCTGTTAATTCGAGCTGAAAGCCGTAAATTTCTAATTGCCGTCTCGTATGTTATGCAAATGCTCGTCGTTAAAGTCCGTCCGAGAGGCGAAGTCTTCGGGGTGTACTGCTCGAGAGAGCCTCCGCCTCGTTTACTCAGCCACCGTTTACTCGGTCGCTCGGCGCAGCTGACGTGCGCGCGCGGTCTCTTTCGCGGCGTAACCGCGTGCACAGAGGCGGTGTAACATTCGTAAACGTTACGAGATATTTACGAGACGCGTTTCCCGTTTTTCTTCTTTTTTTCTTCCCCCTTTCTCGATGCACTTCCCCGGCCAGTCAGCGTTCCGACGGAACGAAGTTCCGTAAAAATCGCCGGCCTCGAAACCCACCGTCTCGCTCCCGTCGAAACGAGCCTACTTTCTTATTCTGGAAATTAGATCGAGAGATCACCGATGTGCGCGTCCGAGTTGACATTTTAACGCCACTTTGAGACGCTCGTAAGGATAATTCGTGCCTACTTCGACGGCCTGTAGACTAAAAACCTACTTCGACTATATCGGTACTCGTTAACTTCTCTATTGAATCTCCAATTCTACAGATTTCATTTCAACGCTACCTTTGGAAAACCTATTTTAACGCGGAAACGGAGAAAAATTTAAGACGTCATCAGGACGTCATCAGGATGTCGAAGTGAAAATAAATTGTACTATTAAGACTGAAATGTTGGACCTATTTAGGTGTCTCAGCTCTTACTGTGTTGTAGAATTTAAGGTCCGACGTAGGGCCAGAATTTCGAGCCGGGCGGGTCATTTTCACGTCAGCGACTCCGTTGACGGATGTGAACTTTGACAGGAGATTCGACTTATCGGCTTTCTCGTTCCTCTGTTTCAGATCAAGCTGGAACGCGTGCTGGGCGTAACTGTCTCCAGCAATGCAGCCCTGGACTGTGACGCGACCAGCGAGCTGGTCGCTTATCCGGCCGGGTAAGTCTGATTCTTCTCTGATCCTCTCTCTCTCTCTGTCGCGCATTACTATCACTACTACTACCACTCTGGCGTGTCACGCCACCTTACGCATTTACGTAACGATCGCTCCGAAAGCGCGCGAAACTGCTCGCGAGCAGTGCGAGCATTCGTATCGCGCTCGCTAAGTGCAGCGACTTTCGTGACGACGACTTGTCCAAGGAGACGACAGAAGACGGGGAGTCGGGTGTTCTCGAAGAGGGGAGAGGGGGGAGAGCGAAACGCGATTTTTCCCAGAGTCGTCTCCGGGAGACACGAGAGACACAATGGGTTTCTCGTTTACGACGCGCGTACTCTCACCGGTCCACGCCGTGTTCGGCAAGACCGGCTCGTTCTGCCCGAATCGTTTATATCGACGCGCGAAACGGATGCCGCTCTCGCGACCTCCGGGAATATATCCCCCCCTCTTCCCCTCGCGAAATTACGACGGTCAACTAGTCGCTAGGTTTTACGATCGGAGAGCGTATATACACACAATGCGTCGTACAACTCATCCGCCGGATGTCTTTGGACGGATAGGCCGGGGAATTAGCTCGCGTTTGCGGCGCCCGATGTTGTGCCACTTTCGTCGGCGCTGCGCAAAAATATGATTGCTAAATTGTGGCACGCCGAGAAACTTCAACCGGGCGGTCGTCGGCGGTGTGGGACTCCTTAAACTCGAGCTCGTGGGAAAATGAGCGGAGTAAAACGAGCGGCCGGCTGTGGTGGAACTTAGCTCGCGCGCGCCAACGCCGCGGACTCGCGCGGCGAAACGTATCGTGCCGATCGGCGGTATCGTATTGTGATGTTGAGGCCGATACGAGAGAGATGGTTAGATATCACGTTGTAAATAGTGGATTTATTATCCGATCGCCGCGATCGCGCGAATAATTCAGCGAGAGCGAGCGCACGAGCTGGGGACGATGATTCGCGACCGATTGATTCGTTGCGCTCGAGATGCTACGTCGGAAGAAAATCTTAAGTGTCTGGCCGGTGCGAGAGGCCAACGTTTTTGCCACCATGTTCGTCGCATGAGCGGAATTAAAAACTAGATTGTTTGCCTTCGGAATATCAATATCGTTTTTATAAGATAAATTAATAACCGACATCTGAGTCTGCTTTTTATTTTCATAGAAGCCCGACGAGGCCTTCTCGATTCTTCTTTAATCCCAGTTTATGAGTCAGATTTACCCACACGAAGGATCAACATCTTACAGTTGAATCTTGAATTATCGCACATATGAATGGAGAAATCTTGTTTAAAACGTGCAGAATGTTTTCCTTCTTTCCGTGCAGAATTGCAATACGTTATCTTCTCTCACACTTTAAATTGTCCGTTTTTAAATAACGATTGCGACGAATTTGTCAAAGTTGCCTTTCGTACACTCTGAAAACTGTAATATTTGCATATAAAGCAAGTTCATTTATAGATGTCCAAGTGAGAGCACATCACAAAATTACTGGGTTTCACAGACCCAGTGTGCCAAATTAAGTGGCAAAAAATAAGTATGCCAACGACGGGTTAATACTCAACCGACTTTCTACGAGTTCGCATTTTTTCTCGCCGGGAAAACGACGGGATTTTTTGCAACTGATAAATTTATCCAATCATCGGGTACTCGCGCAAATCGATATAGGCTTAATTACTCAAACTATTTATTCGAAGAATGTTATAAATATGCGCCTACTACCTAGACGCGTCGCTTTCATAACGTTCTTCACGAGGTTTCCTCGCGATATTATGCGAGCGCGCGGTTGTTCTCGCGACGATAGCCGCGTACCGATCGCGATCGCGCGCGGTGGATCAAGTATGCCGGCGAAAGAAAGTCCGGCTTCGTTAATTTGAGAGGCAGGAAAAAATGCACGGGGCCCGTTCGTCAGGCACGGATAAACGCAGACAGCACAAAGGATACGGCTTATTTTTGCGCGCCGGTCGCGCTGAATAGAAGAATGGCGAAAGTGTGATGGGGAGAGATTATGCCGATTTATCGCCGTCGTCAGAGTTAACTGGAAGAAATCGCGCGGACCACGGGTGTAACCCCGAGCCGATATTTTGGTTTAACTGGGTTGAGCCTTTAATTCTTCAACACAGTAAGAGCTACACAGATTCAATTTCAATTCTAATAATATGTTTATTTCTACTTTGACTCTGACGATGTTTCAAATTTCCATTTTTAATTCTTTTAACGTCGAAATGAGGCTGAGTGGTAGTAGCGTGAAATTAAAATTTACAGACAAATATTTTTCCTTTTAACTTTCGCCCGAAGATCGCTGCAAACATCAATCATGTATAAAGAATCAATGAAAAGTGAGAAATAAATTATATCTCCTTGTTTGTAATATCATGTATATCTTTTTGTTAATTTATTAAAATTCGCATTTATTATTTAGACAGTCGAGTAAAGTAGAAAAGTATTTGTTTTCAATAAATACCAAATTTACGTACGTGCTGCTTAATATCGTAACCGAAAATCCACTCTCTGATGACACAACTGTCTTAAAAGTTCAAGAGAGGAATTAATAAGCCTCGATATTGTCAAAGTAGATTTCTATTACGTTATAGGTTATCTTTAAATAGACGCTAACTATCCTTGGGAGCGTCCAAATATCCAAATTTCGGCTCGGGAAGTTCAGCCTTCGGCGACCTGTTTGAACAGCTCGCGCGAATGACATATTTTTCCAACGGCCGTAACGTAACACGAACGAGCAGCCTACTAAGCCGACCTTCGTACACATGTTCCACCTGGGAAAAAAAAAGAAAACTCCCCTCCATCGACGCGAAGTTCGCGTGACAATATGCAAATTAGCAGGTCTCTTAAGGACTCGTTAAACATCGTCGCGCTATCAAATGAGTCACGTACGGGCGTCACTTCCCGCCTGCCGGTGTATAATGAAACCGTAAAAACGATCGTCCGGCGGACGCAAATCGGCGTTGACGCCGCCGGAACGCGTCATATACATGTATATATCTCTCTTTTTTTTTTCTCACCTTCGCGACGCAGTCGCTTATCGTCTGGCCGGGGCTAGACCAGACGTAAGTAGAGTGTGGCGGACCTAATAAGACAGGCGGAGAGACGTTGTGGAAATAAATTAGCGGGGCGATCGCGCGCGAGAGGAAACGGCCCGCTAGAGCGCGGCCGATGTAAATCCGCCGCTCGATTAAATCCGATGCAGTTAGCGTTATCCCGTATATCTCTCGGCTTAACGCTGTATAGCCATATTTTACCGTACGCGTAACCGTCGCGTACGGAGACCCCGCCACTTGTGAAGAAGGAAAAAAACGGAAAAATCAAACTTTACTTGACTATGGCGGTATTGAATCGGAGTTTTTTGTAAAAATCTGCACAAACTTGTCGGACAAGCCGGTATAATAGTAGCTTTATCGGCCACGAGAGAAAGAAAGAAAGAAAAGCAAACAATAGACATGTGGAGTGTATACAAAAGAAAGCGGCCATTATGAGCAAGGCAACAGCAGCTGCAACGTAGCTGCTATTACTGCCTTGCCTGAAAGATCAAAACGATTATGTAGCGAAGCAAAATTGTGGGAAATGAACGTTGCCAATCTCCGTGCATACGTTGTTACGTCCGAAGAATCGCCATCACCGCAAAGTTCGCATCGATATGCGTGAGAATGCGTCGGCGACACGCATTGAGAAACGAATTTTTAATACATATCTGCAACTATAATCGCATAAATGAAAGAATTACAGTCGGAAGAAGCGCCTTTCTAATGAGCGCATTGGGGAAAAGAAAAAGTGTTAAGTTCAAGTAAATATTTATGAGATTATCAGAGTTAATTATTTTATTCGGATCAAGTAAATATTACTTAAATGTAATATTTTTTTTTAATATGCTACATTCAAGCAATATTTATTTAGATTCGAGTAAAAAGAATTCCTCCGATATCCCGAAATGTTTACTTGGACGCAACACTTTTTACTTTCAGCGAGTCATTATAGCATCGGTGATAATAATCTCACATACATATTGCCACTGAGAGATTTCTGGGTCAAGACCGAAAGAAGATAAAGCTGAGGCCGAAAATGAAACTATATAATCTCGGTGGGATTTCTCTGAGTAATGAGTGCGCGCGAATCTCGCGAATGAGGCGCGATGAGAGAAAGAGAGAGAGATGTATCGGTCGCGCGCGCCGCATCCACCGATCACATCGAGATCACGATCACGTCGGGATATCTCGTCCTCCGCTGCACGTGCAAAATTCCTCCGAAAGGTCAAGATCAACGATCCATTCGCCGGCGGTGGGGGCGATTGCGGCGGTGCGATTCAACCGGTCGCCGTCGTCATCCGTCTGCGATAAGTTATGCGCGGCACTCCGGCGGAAATCGGGTCAGGAGAGAGAGGTGAATGGACCGGTGGATTCTGCGTCTCTCGGGCCCGTCGAGATCCGCCTGTCCCGGAATACGTGCATCGGCGACGGTTGCTCCGACCTGAGACCCGCAGTTCCATTCTGTAACTTTAAACGACAATGTCGCTGTCGTGTTACAACATCGTTGACGCGCGGCTTTTCTATTATATATTACACATTCGCGCAACGACGACGTAACGACAACGTCGTCGACAGAAGTTACAGAACAGAAGCTTACCGTTGGAACGTGAAATCGCTCGCTCTCACTGCGACCGTTTCTTCTTCGCAGGGAAAAAGCTTCCTTTAGATTCCGCGTTTCTATTTATTTCACCGAAATTTGTCTCATTCAAGAAAACTCGATTATTTCATAGAAAAAGCGTTCTTATTTGAATCGTTTTTTAAACAAGCGAGAATAATTTCACCCTAAATTGACGTTATTAATGGAAAAATTCCTATAAAATCTTCCCGCCCCGCGCGCACACGTACATCGGCGACAGTTGAAACGGCTGGACTCGCGAGCCGGGATCCGCCGGAACGTGGAATCGTTCGCTCTGTTTCTCCTTCTGTCTTTCTTCTTCCGTGTTTCCCTCTTTGAACGATTTAATAAGAAAAATGC